TTTTGGTGCCCATTTGAAAGTGAGTTGTCGTGATTGGCCCGTTCGCCGGCTGGGGGAACGGGGGAGAAGGTAGTGCGTCATTGGGCGAGGGGGGGACACGCTGTAGTGAGCGAACACCCCCGCCCGCCAGTGGTACTCATGCACGTCCAGCAACGCGCCGGGCCGTCAGCCTTTTGTGCCTTTTTAGTTTGCATTGCTGTGTAGTCGCGTGTTCGCATGCCATGAAGCTGACCCTGTGCATCTTGATATCGTGGTCTCTTGCCCATTCTCTCTGCAAATACGGTTGAGCACAAGGAACATCTTGTCCAATGCTTTGCCCCGATGGCGCAATCATCGCGGACACACCGCCTGAGCGTCACAGCCAGCACACCACTGTACATCACACATTCACCATCTACATATCGGTTCTGGTTTCCTTGCTCTGTACTCCTAGTTGCAACTACAACTGAGGCCTGAGAACAGAATAGTCGCCCACCATGTGCAGATTCATGGCAAGTCTGCTACAACACCTCCAAGTCATACCCAACTAACACATGGCAGGTCTACAAAGGCAAAGATGATATCCTTCTCTCTGAACTCATTCTCAACCCTACTCACTCTATCCTCACACAATCATTCGATTCGCGCCTACGACTAGTACGTTCCCCGTTCCATTTCCTCTAAGCGTCATCCACCTCGCCCTCCAAACTAATACAACCACCACTCCAGGACCGCCGCCGCCCACACAATGGCGACGGCTTCGGCATCGGCTACTACACCTCTCCCTCCTTAGGCCCCACGCCCTGCGTCTTCACCTCCACAATCCCCGCCTGGAACTGCATCAACCTCTCGCGCATCGCCTCCAAAACGACCTCGTCCCTCATCTTCGCCCACGTACGCGCCACAACCGAAGGCAACCTCAGCGACAGCAACTGCCACCCCTTCAGCTACAAAAGCATCATGTTCATGCACAATGGCGGCATCGGCGCCTGGCGCCAAATCAAGCGCCGCTTCGCCCTCAGCCTCGCCGAGAAATGGTTCAACGTCGTCGGCGGCTCCACTGACAGCGAATGGGCCTTTGCCATGTTCCTCGACTGCCTCGCCAACGCCGGCGTCTCCCCCGACAAAGAAGTAGAGCCCGGTGTTGGCTTCGGACATACGGTGCTCAGGAAGGCGCTGCTGAAGACGATTGAGCGAATCAATGCCTTGATTAAGGAGGTCGTGGGCGAGCAGGGGGTCGGGGAAGAGGATAGTAGGAGTTTATTGAATTTCGCGGTCACGGATGGGGTTAGTGTCGTGTGCTCGCGCTATGTCAGTTCGACGAAAGATGAGGCCGCGAGTCTGTTTTTCAGTAGTGGGACTAGTTGGAAGGAACTTGGCGGAGATGCGCATCGTGGTGCTGCTGCTGCTGCGTCGGTGGGCAGCGATGATGGGAGTAGCACTGGCGGTGTGGAAAGCGAGGACAGAGAAAGGAACTACGTGATGGAGAGGAGGGATAAGGGATCCGATATCGTGCTCGTAGCCAGTGAGCCCTTGACGTTTGAACGCGGTATGTTAACATTCCCCTTTCTTCCTCTCATCCTTTTTATCTGTTTTTTTTTGATACCCAATGCGAAATCAAGGCTAATGAGTTATATAGATAATTGGGTCACAGTTCCCACAAATAGTACCCTAACTATTTCAAAGCAGACGGTCATGATTCATCCCATTGTAGATGAGTTTTACTCCTCGAACCCGGCGCATGCGCGTAGTGCGCAGTTTGCTAAAGCAAAGGGGCAGACGGTTACGGGGAAGGCATGAGAGTGTGATTTTTTTTTCCTTTTCGAGTTGGGATTTGAAGAGGGCCATGGGGTGTTTGGAGTACAAGGGGCGTTGAAGGTTGGTACTTTTGGCGTCTGTGTTTCCTTGATTTTTGGGAAGGAAAGGAATGATAGTACTCTTTTTCGTTCTTACGTACGATTTAGTAGGATCATTATGCACACGAATTTTGTCATATCAAGATGTTGAACGAAAACAAGTGTATTTGAAGTCTAAGCCAAAAACTTGCACTATTACATTTTCTATATCCTTCCCACCTTCACGCTGCAAGCGCCTTCAAGACATCCGGATGCTTCCTCTTCCGCGCCGGATACGCCTTTTCGGCCTTAAACGCATCAATACGATCGCCATCAAGCAAAAAATCGTACTTTTCCACTACAGCCTTGCAAAATTCCACCCATGCCGTGTTGAGATAGCCATGGCCTTCCTTCTTTTCCTCGATACTTAGACAGCTGTAGTCGATGCTCCACCGTGCGAGTTGCTTCCAGCTGTACAGTGACATGCTCGGCGCGCCGACCATGATTTGATAGAATTCGTGGGACATGGAGTTACTATGTTAAACCGTTAGCGATTCTGAGATACCAAGAGAATATAATAGTTGGAGAGGAAGTCCCACCTGAATAGAGATGGATTATCAGAATTGACAGTGCAAGGTATACCCGCAGCCAGCAACTCTGGATACGGATGCTCCTTTACGTTTCTACAGAGATGCAAGAGTTCATTGGAAATAGGGCACAGCTCGATGCAGATCCCGGGGCTAGACTCTGTCTTTCTGAATTTCTCGAGCAAGTGCGGGTGCTTCATGAGGGCGAAACCATGGCCGATGCGCTGCGAGTTGAGGGCGACTGCGTCGTAGAGATTGGATTTTTTGGGATCGTCGGAGCCGCCTGTGTCTAGGAGCGTTTCACCGGCATGAAACATGAAGGGGATTTCCAGATTTAGTGCTTTGCATGTTTCCTGGAAGGCGACGAGTTGGGTTCTGTAAAAGTCAATGTGGTTGGGTCGGTCTTCAGCGCCGACGAGGTCGAATCCTGTATGTGTGTTAGAAACTAAACGCACCTCTTTAGACTTGTTCTTGGCACTTACCGCAGATGAGCTTGGGGAACTGAATCTTGAGCTTGATACAGTCCCTCATTTCGTTCTCCATCATCTTAGGTGGTATTGATCGAGGCGTGCAGTATATGATCTTGAGTCCGAACGGGAACTTGTGAATCTCACCTCTTTGCCTTAGCTCAGCCTTCTTTGCCTCTACTCCCTCAATAATGAGCTTCATCTGAGCAGCATTATCAACACGATCCTCTGGCTTTCCACTATCTCCAGGAATGAACTTGTCTAAAAGCATTGGTCGTAGTTCAGCATACATGACCCTTTCCTCAATCATTCGGTCAATGGCATCGCTTATATAGGATACGTAGACACTTTTGTAGTTTAGAAGCCCTTTAAAAGCCCTTGTGGCTTGGTTGAATCGCGCCCAGACCCTGTGTGGGTATCAGCAGATGGTTTTCTCAAGTAGCAACAGACATACCCATTAACAGTCTGGTCGGGACGGTAAGCCTCCTCTTGACTAAGTACCATTTTCGACCTTAGCCAGTTCTCGGCTGGCCTTAATAGAGCACGAGGTGCCGATTCTCCACAATGTTGTGGCTGCCCATCGCGGAAAGTCCCTGGTTCTTGCTGCAGGTACTGGCCAGGAAATTTCTTTTCAAACTCCTCCTGGAACTTCGCCCATGGCATCCAGATCTGCTTTTGAAACTCTTCCTTTTTGAGATCGGCCGGCGTTGTGACAAGAGGATAATCCATTGAAAATATGTCAACGTTAGGATTGATAGTGTTTGGATCTAGGACATTAAAGACCAACTCGGTCGTGGCCAACTGCTGCTCATCTTGGATGCGCTGAATGCTGCGGATATACATGTTCTTCATTGTTCGGGCTCGTACAAGAAGAATTTCAGGATGTAATTCAGCATTGAAGTGCAGATGCAGAAGGCCCCCCTTGGGCACCATCTTGGATATCTCAAACAACTTGCTGTCCTTATCTATCCGATCTTTGTTAGTAAGAAACTGGCCACCCATGTCCTGATCTTCAACATCCGGGAGCGACTCTGACGCCAGATTTCCAAAGGTAACGATGCGTTCATACTCGCGAATCTGCTGTATGATGGTGGCAGCTCTTCTCTCTACCCTATCTTGCTCAGACGTTGAGTTACTGTTGGGCCTTGCTTCCCGATCCCAAGCGTTATCTTCTTCTACTTGAAGAAGGTTGCTCCTCTGTTGCCCGTATCTCTCCGATGCTGTTGCATCCTTTAGTTCCTGGTCAAACTTGGCCAAGGCCTGTGCCTCTTGCTGTTGTTGCATTTGGCTATCAGGAATCGGATCAGGGGCCTCCATATCTGCAGGATGAAAGGGCACCTTTCGTGTTGGATGCGAACTCGTCGCTCTTTTTCTCTTCTTTGGTGAGTCAGCTGTCATGACCAGCCTGTTTGGATCCTCTGGAGACGTGTGTCTGCCACGTACAAAGCTGCGTGCATTGGTTAGTACAGACGTGCACACGACATGCGTGGTTTAGTCCAAGACTCACAATGTGGGGATCACAATACCACACTTGGCCAGCAAGCCTGGGCGGGCTTGTTGAGACGCACTCGAAGGTTTGATGTCGCCGTCAGTGGGCATACCGGTGATTGTTTTGGCAAGATGATTATGGTCGGCTGTTCATGCCGGTGCGCATAAAGTCGCAGGGAGAGCAATGCAATGATGATCGCATCCGGTTGCACCTGCATTCAAAAACCCCTCGAGGCAAATTTCTTGCTTCACCGGTCTAGGCTGTGAGCAAAACTCGGTGTAAGACGAGTTGTTGGCTGGTATATTGATGCTCTATTTGGGTAAGGCCTTCAACTACCGGCGAAACCTAGCCTGGTGTTGTCGATGGAGTAGTACCAGTGTCAAATGTTGTAGGCCCGATGTTTGGCCTAAGGCACGTGGCCGTACGAATCAGTAAAGTAGTTTGATGAGTGGAGTTCCGGTGTAGCTATATGGGCTGCGCCTCGATCACGCCTTGTCCTGTTGCCTGGGGATGAAGAGAAGAGGATGAGAAGGGGCGTGAATGACGGCATGTTTGATAGTGTCTGCCTCGTGATGGCAACCGCAACAGACACGCTATGGAAAAGGAAGGAGCGTCCACATACATCAGCGCACACTTTCTGCGAATGTTCCCTTCTTCTCTTGACGCCTCAGATACATGCGACACCACATCCAACGTCTTGTTGATACAATTAGGCCGTGAGCGCAGCTGTCGCTGTCGGATCGTTTCACGTCAAGCCCAGCCTAGTACACTTTGCCGTCGGAGGGGGCGCAGCAGTCGACAGGCTCAAGGCGTTTATCACGACAAGCGGGTCAGTTCCTGGAGAGAAGGCTAGAGTCACTGGCACAATTGAGGCTATGCAAAAAAGCCACAGGCCATCTGCGAGACCCCTCATTCACCAGGCTCCAATCGCATGGGGCTTTGGACATGCATCGACACTCGCTTCCTTCGATGCAGCGCGAACCGACAGCCTTCTAACCCGAGCGGTAACACAGGCGCTTTTGGCCCCCCAGCTGCAGCCCGTACAACATTCGTTCCACGCCTCCACGCGTCGTCACCGTCATGCATGCCTTTGTGCCTCGAATTTTTGTTTGATATATATCAACTTCTACTAACTGTGCTCGCCTTGACGCCGCACTTCAATCCACGCCGCCTTCAAATCGAACCCATGCCGCATCTCTGCCTTTTTACGCCTTCGTTCCGTTCCGCCCTCTAGAGACCCCCAGTGCTTACCGACATGTATTGGCTTCCGGCCGACAACGATGGGAAACTCTCCTACAAAGAATTGCAGCTCGACATTGTTGGCTTCCTGGCCATTTTGGGAGAGGGTTCCGTACTGGCCAACGCGCAAGTCTCAACACTTTCCAGATGGATCTTCTTGCCGCGCCTGCTGCCAGCACCTCAGGCTCTCATGAGACCCACGAGACCAAGTAATCTTGAATCGTTTCCAGGCCATGTGACGGGCATTGTCTCGGGCAACCACCGAGATCACATTAACCATATTGGCAACATTGTCTGGTGAGTGCACCATTACTGGTAAACTTCGCTACTAGCAAGTTCCGACAAGGCACCTCCCCGCCTGTCTACCAGACTCTGTAACACACGCGACAGCGATCACGGCGGCATGCTTACAGAAGCCTACTAGCGATGCTAACAATCTCCCTGATTTCTGTGTCCGCGTCGTCCAAATAAAACGCGTTAACGAGAAGGACCTCAAATCGAAGACTTTCGGCCCGCTCACCGTCGTCCTCCTTATTGGTTTCGTCCTCTCCGTCTTGCTCCTAGCCTTGTCGATATGGCAAGACGACGGCATGTCTATAGTAGCTACGCTGGTGCTATCGTTCCTCTCTAGTCTGATTGGACTGAGCAACAAATGGCGATTGAAACTCACCAAACGCCCCGACAAAAACCGCAAGGTACCACGCGGAGATCTTGTGATACGATATTTGAAGGGCAGTTTCTTGGTGGTGCGATGTGAGGAAGATGTTGCTCGGGAACTTTACTTTGCACCCGAAGGCATCCACTACCTCATCACACACGCTCCCGTATACCGGCTACTGAGCTTGATAGGCACCATGATGCTCATGGGCGGCGTCATCTGTCTCGCCAATGCGCAAATCCAAGTCCAAATTGCGTGGGCAGGCTCTTATATGCTCCTCAACGCATCGTACTGGATCGTGGCTGCATTACCCAGCAAGATGCACTGGGATACTTCTTGCTACGAGGTGATATCCGAGTGTCTTACCGGCTCCGACATGGACGCGAAGGGCTATCCGTCTGAAAGTACATCGTATACATGGGCTCTGTGGAAGGCAATTTGTGTTACCAAAGAGACGGATTGGGTACTGAAGAGTTCGGCTTGTCCCGACACGGAAGCGTGGAAGGACTGGTTGAGGGAAGCCAAAGCGTGCAGCCAAGACGTCAGGCTGGTGGACGATGTAGAGATATCCAAAGGCAAAACCATGTGGGAAGTGCCTGAGTGGGACCCTCAGGCATCCCTGACACGCATAATAGCGGAACATGCAAGTGGTGAGCACAAGAAGTATGAGGTTGTTTGACAGGATACGACTTGGATTTTTTTCTCTTCCTCCTCTCTCCTCTGGAATTGGGCCTTTCCTTTCTCTCTCTGGATTTTTTTATGCATAGCTCTGGGAAAACAAGGGATTCCACCACGGCCATTATCATCATCGGACGAAGTTCAACGACATTTAAGGGGAAAAAACGACGACATTTCAAACGACGGCTTGTTCAAGGTACCATGGGCCACAAACCATTATTATACGTTTATCGCGCATATACCATTTCTCACGACGACATGTTTTCGCATCATCAGGCATTCTTTCCTGTTTTTTCTTCTATATTTTGACAGCAAAAAGCCATTCAATTACTGCATAGCTATCATATCGCATCTCATGCACATAGGTTATCAATTGAGGAAACTTTACTTTTGGTACTTGGCCTACAATAATTGGATGCTCTTGGTATTTAGAGATGCACAAGAGGTCAAGCAAAGTCCACCTCTTGGGCACCTTTGCTGTTGTATTCAAATTCCACTCATCTAGCACGGGGAAATATTTTTGGTTCTCGAAAAGAGTTGTCTCTTGTTTAACGGCCGAGCAATACATAGCTGCAGCACCAAGGACACGCGACTTAAGCAGTGGCCTTGTTTCTCCGAGTGGAGTCCGGAGGCAGCCTTCTCTGCGCATACCGATATCAAGAAGGTGGGCTTGTCAGATGTGACATGAAGCTTTTGGGCTTCTTGAAGAGGGCTTCCCCACTGTCTGCATTGGTCTGAACAACATCCACTCTTCAGGTCGCGCTCCTCCACCGTTGCTCGTGCTCCACTTTTCTCTTCACCACGCTCCTCAGCCACTTGTCCAAGCTCTCTGCTTCAGCCTGCGCGTCAATTTCCATTGCATCGCCCTCAACGTCCAATTTGATGCCGCCTTGGTCTTCGCTGTCGTCCTCGCCGCAACACGTCTCCTCAGCCATTTGACAGGCTTCGTTCCAATCTTCATAACTAAAGGATCCTTCGCTCTCACTCAACAACATCTTTCTCTTGCCCGAAAAAGCGAAGACATGGACCGAGCGTATGGGTTTCGCGCGCAAGAGTTGGTTGGCGGTCGGGAATAGAAGCGCCGAAGAAGGTGGGGCAGGTTGCGCGACGAGTACAGATGTGAGAGTTGTAGATAGGGGTATCGAGGCAGAGAGAAGGGCGAGAAGCGCGGTATGGAGGAGGTGGGGGAGGAGAGAAAGAGACTTGGGATGGTTGTCAGCGATCTTGGCCGTGGCGACGAACAGTAGACTGCAGACGAACCGTATTGACACCTGCGGTACTATCTTCCTCTGGTAAGCTCCTCACTTGCAGGGTGATTTGAACCAGTGTTCGTGGTATCGATTGCGTCAGGATAATGCTGCGCAGCGTGTTGTGCACGAGGGTTTCGAGGTGTCGCTCTCTTGGGCCTTTCACAGAATCATGGTCAGCACCGAGCTATCTTTGACATTCTACTATCGGATACCAATACGCACTTCCTACGCCCGCGGCTGGCCTCAGGTTGACTTCAATGGCGGCTTCTTCTGGCAACTCATCGCGCCGCTGCACCTCGATTGGCCCATTGACGGCGCCGATGATGGAGTACCCATTCTGTGTATATGTCGCTGAGCCATCGGCACGATTCAGGTGGGTGAGGGTAACTGTTGGGACAACCATGGCTGGATGTATTTGTGTATTGTATGCGCGTGTCGGCGTCGTCATGGGTTGGTGGCGCCCATGTCCAAAAGTTTTGGTGGGGAGATAAGCTTTGGTCGCGGAGCGCACATGAGCTCTATGCGACCGAGGTGCCAGCCAGCATCACCGCGGCCAACCCAGCCAGCCAGCCAGCCCATTGCGCCTGGGACGTGTTGGCCAGCCAGCCTCCTCACTCGCCTTTCACCGCCATCTCACCCCCGGCGCTCCCTCTGTACAAACTCCCCGCACAACTGTCCACCTCGTACCACCAGTACGGTTTGTGTGCCAATCGCAGAGTGAAACCCACATCATGGCCGGCTCTTCGCGCAACGCCTCGCCTATCAAGCGGCTGATGACGGAGCTGCAAACATACCAATCCAACAAGAACGATGTCCTCTACGACCTGGGGCCCACCGACGACGACGTCATGCAATGGCGCGCCGTCATGAAAGGTGTACCAGGAACCGCATACGAAGGTACATGCAGTCACCTCTTCCACATGCTCTTCACGCTACTAACACATACCCAAACAGACGGTTGCTGGCTCCTCTCCATCTCCATCCCCTCAACCTACCCCCTCGCACCCCCCACCGTCCGCTTCATAACTCCAATCTGCCACCCCAACGTCGACTTTAAAACCGGAGAAATCTGCCTTGACCTTCTCAAGACCTCGTGGACCCCTGCATACACTATTTCTACGACTATGACCAGTATCCACCAACTGCTTACCAGCGCAGAGCCAGACAGCCCGCTCAACGTCGACGTCGCGCAGTTATTTCGCACAGGTGATGAGGTTGGCGCACGTAGCTTGATCCGCTGGTATACTGCTAGTGAGAAGTATGCATGGAAGGATAAATATTAGACATTTCAAGCTGTCGGGAAGTAACGAGAGTTGACGGATAGTATTGGCGTTTTTTCTCCTCTTTTGCAATTGTTTTGGGCAATGATACCCAAGTAAACTGACTCAAATTATCCCCCAAAGAAAACATATCATGTGAATTTACTGTTTTGATCATTTCTTAAACCTTGAAACCGATATTCTTCTATCTATTCTTGGAAAGCAAAAATCATATAGGGATAACTATATTAAGAATATCATTTACTAAGAATGAAACTAGTAAGCCCTTATCACAATTAAAACACAGACAAACAAATACCTTGGAACTTTTCTCCAGCTAATAAACTATACTTAACTTGACTTCCCCACAGCTGAATGGTTCCATAAAACCCCACATATCCTGCAATCTAGAACCCATTTCAGTAGGAAAGAACAAGCGAAATACCAAGAGTAATGTTACTTGTTTTGTGCCAATGTTGCTTTCAGCCGCGTTGCAGCAATAGCAGCAGCAGTAGTAGCCCCGCCTAACTTTGTCATGTTCTCCGCGGAATGCCAATCGAGAGCTGAAAAAAAAGCGTACTTTCGGAATTTCCCATGGGGAATTTTTGATCACGTAATATTTATTTAGTTGCTTAGTTACCCTTTTTCTTTCTGAATCTAGAAAAGGGAAGGGGAAAAAAGGTTTAGAGTTTCGAAGTTATGTGCGATATAGTGAAAGGACATGAAGGAAAGAGAGAGATATGGGAGATGTGAAAAAAAAAGTTGTATG